TACAGTCAGGCGTGGTTCTGGGCCTGCCATGCCTCTCACAACCAGTTTTCTCTCATTTTCTGTTCTTATTCACGAAGTCTTTCACAGCCTGACCCTAACGATGCATTGTTCCTGGTGGGAAACAGCCAAGATGCCAATGGACTCTTGGATGTCCCCAGCACCAATCAAAATCACCATGAGTCAGCACAGCACACACTGCCCTTTTGTGAGCTCTCTGCTGTCTGGGCAGAGCAGGCTGGGCTGGATAGTGTGGGAGAAGTGGTCACCAGAGGAGGAGGGCTCTTTCTGCCTCTGGCAACCTCAGGGCAGAATCTCTGTCCCTTGGGGAGCTTATCGTTGGGATTTATGGTGTGTGCTCTGAATTCATTGTACAAAACTCAGTGCTTTCTTTGTTGCATAGAACATTAAGTACAGGTCACCGAAGAGAACGCCCACCTCCTGTGACATTTGCTGCCGAGTACCACTGTTGAGGTGCAGGGAGACATTTGCAATAATGGAAGCTGCCCTTTCGATGCTTAGAACTTTACAGGAGGCCAGACTGTAGGAATTGCCAGCACTATTTATGTGGTCTGAAAGGTGGGTGTAAAACTGGGGTGTAGTAAGTCACAGCAGGAGAGTGAGCTGGGTTGTTTGGTTGGTTCTCAGAACACAGTAAACTCATGCAGGGAGAAGGTGCCCGGATCTGTGGAGCCTGATTGCAGTGCCACCACTCCTGCTGCTTCTAAAGGAACTCAGCTACCACTCAGAGACGCTCCCATTCCTTGCTTCTGCTGTGGGAGGAGGCATCCTCCAGCCTTTAGCTTAGTGCCTGACCAGAGAAATGTTACTGGCGTTATCATCGTATCGTCCGGCCTCCGAGCTTGCCTTTCAGAAGAGTTTGTGTTTGTCACAAGCCCTTTCATTTATAGAGAAGATAGTATCTGGATTTCCCCAACCTCTGTAAATTGATGAGGCAAGATTATCATATCACGGGCTACATTATAGCAGCTGCTTTTGGTCACATGCTTAGCCTTTGTTTCTTTTTTTTTTTTTTTTCTCTTTTCTTTTTGGTTTTTCGAGACAGGGTTTTTCTGTGTGTAGCTCTGGCTGTCCTGGAACTCACTCTGTAGACCAGGCTGGCCTCAAACTCAGAAATCCACCTACCTCTGCCTCCCGAGTGCTGGGATTAAAGACGTGAACCACCACCGCCCAGCGCCTTTGTTTCTTTGAAGTCCAGAAACCACATTACTGTTGAATTAGAATATAGAAGACAGAGTGTCCTTTGATTGATTTCACCAGTGCTTTCTTGCTACATTTGCAATCCAATCTCAGCCTCTATTAGGACTAAAACCAATACAACACAAATCGCTCTTCTCCTTTAATGTTTATTAGACATGATCCGTAAACCACAAAATCACACTTTAAAAATGTACGACTACTAAACCAGGGCATTGTGGTGCACACCTTTAGTCCCAACATTCAGGAGGCAGAGGCAGGTGAATCTTCGAGTTTGAGACCAGACTCTTTCTACAGAGAGTTCCAGGCCAGACAGAGCTACACAGAGAAACCCTATCATGAAAAACCAAAAATTTTTTAAAAAAAGTATCAGATATTGTCATGGTTTGTACATGCTTGGCTCAGGGAGTGGCACTATTTGGAGGTGTAGCCTTGTTGGAGTAGGTGTGTCATTGTGGGCGTGAGATTTAAGACCCTCATCCTAGCTACCTGGAAGTCAGTATTCTGCTAGCAGCCTTCAGATGAAGATATAGAACTCTCAGCTACCATGCCTACCTGGATGCTGCCATGTTCCTACTTTGATGATGATGGACTGGACCTCTGAACCTGTAAGCCAGCCCCACTTAAATATTGTCCTTTATAAGAGTTGCCTTGGTCATGGTGTCTGTTCAAGGCAGTAAAGCCCTAACTAAGACAGCTGTCTTAGCATATTTGCTCAGTTGTGCAACCATCACTATAATGTAACTTTTGGAAATGTTCATTATTCACCATAAAAGAGGGCTCATTACTTTCCATTCTTCTCTGGCCTCTGGTAACTCCCAATCTACCTTCTGACTCTAGATGTGCCTGTTTCAGACACTTCATATAAATAGACTCCTCTCGTGTCAGAGTTGGAAAAATGCTCTATCATGTACTTCACTCTTATGGCTGAGAAATACTGCATTGTATTCAAATACATTATGTTTACACATCCTCCGATGGACGTTTGGATTGTTTCTGCTTGTGCACTGTTATGTAATACAGGTATGGGCATTCATGCACAAGGTTTTGTGTGGACACATCTTTCCATGTCCTTAGAGTGGATGCCTAGAAGTGGGTTGGTGATCTGTCCCTGCATGTTGCTAACTATTTGGGAAATGGCCGATCTTCTTTCCAAAGGAGACATACAATCTCAGCTTTCCATCAGCAGTGAGTGTAACTATCTGATCACATCCTCAGCAAGACTTACTTTTTACTTTTATCTTTTATTTCAGTATGCTGCTTGGTATAGGGTTGAGGGCTGCAAATACCAAGTACCTTTCTATGTCCTCATTGCCCATCTGTGGTGGGTCTTCTGTTCATAAATGTCTCCTCAAATACCTTAGTTTGAATACCAGGTATTTACTGCTGTTACCTATTTATTATTGTATCTTCATTGTCTTTTTGTTGTTGGTCTGTAAGGGTTCCTTTGCTGTGGGTCTAGCTCAGTAGTACAGCTCTTGCTGTGGGATTTGTGGGATTTGTCTCAGTCCTGCTAACAGCAAAATGAAGGCATTCATTTCACAGATATTCAGAACTAGGCCCTCAAGCATTCCCATCTGCCTTTTCAGTTTCCTGATATTATCTTTTGAAGTTCTAAAGCCTCAATTTTGACAGAACCTAATTCATAATACTTGAAAACATTTCTATTGTCATATCCAAGGAATTATTGCCCTGACCCACTCTATGTAATGGGAGGGAGGTGCACACCAGGGTCTTCTCCTCAGTGATTTTTAGCTTTACATAATATATTTGAGTTCGTAGTTGTGTGTGATAGGATGTGGTGGGCCAAAAATAGTAACAGTTACATGTGGATATTCACTTGTTTGACTGGAAGATTCTCTTTACCAGCCAAGCCATCTGAATGCTTGCTAAGTATCAGTTAATTGTAAATATATGGTCTGTTTTCTATCCCACTTGGTCTGGTATTATACACTTTTATACAGCCCTTAAAGAGTGTGTGTGTGTGCGCGCGCGCATGTGTTTGGTTTTTTCCATTTGTCTATTCTGAGTCTCCTGAATTTCCCCCATGAACTTTATGATCTATATATTCGTCCACCTCAAGAAAATTTACTTTGTAAGGATTGCCTTGAATTGTCAGGTCTGTTTTGGGGGAACGTTACCATCTTAATATTAAGGCTTCCAATCTAGAATGTTCTTTTCCTTGTTTTCTTTCCTTCTGTTTTCCTTCAATAGTACTTGATACTTTTGAGACAGGGTTTCACTATGTGCCTTGGCTGACCTGGCACTATGCAGATCAAGCTGGCCTCAGAGATCCACTCGGTCATGCCCATCCCCCAGCACTGGGAGCAGAGGTGTGACCACCCAACCCCCTTCTCCGAGCAGCACCCTGGGGCACTTCTTGAGCATGACACCTATTGCTTTTGATCTTGTGACAATCCAGTTCCGGGTTGTTGTTAAATTATTCATTGCTAGCTTATGGAGGTAAATTTGCCTATTTCTACCAGTGCATCAACAGCCTCCAATAGTTACATGTGTGGCTTGACTTTCTTTCTTCCCCTTTTCCTGCCCTGGTAGACATCTCGGAGGGCATCTCCTGGTTTTTCTATGGAAGAACACTGGTGGCCATTGGGCATTAGATAAGTCACTCTTTATACTTGTCTCTATCAGGATCTTTGAACTGTTTCTTTTCCTTTGATGATATGGTTTAATTTTGCTAGGACCTTATCCTACTTTTAGCCTCTCCTACAGAACAACAAAACCCAACAGAAATTATTGCTATCTTCTGGGGATGTTTACCCTTGAACAAGGAGAAACAACTGTTGGCCTGGCTCTTAAGGACCGGCATCGAGTCAACATACAGTCCCTGACTGGGGTATTCAGAATTACTGTGTCCTATAGAGTTGCTAGGGAACACACCTTCATTGACTCAGGATTTCCTTCATGCTAGACTGGGCCTCATGGCTGTCCCCTTTACTTCTTCAAATTCTGAGGCAATCTCACTAGGTAGCCCAGGAGGCCTTGAATTTTGAGGTCCTCCTCCCTCATCTTCTCAAGTAGCTAGAATTACAGGCCTGCACCATGGCCTTGCTAGAGTCCTTTAGAATGGATGTCGTAGGTGAAAACAGACTCAGAAATTGAGGTGAACTGGGAGCAACCACCCTGTGTACACTGGGAGCTCAGTCCTCCACGTAGCCTCGGAGGAAGTAGAAAAGGCTAAGGAGAAAAATGTAACAAGGGAAAACAAGCCCCTCCTTTCCCATCTTGTGATCCTGAAACCCTCCCTGGCTGGCTTATTTTCTTCAGCACTTTCAGAGTCTACCTGTTCCCTAAAGACAGGACATTCCTGAGATGATCAAGAATGAACAGGACTGTCCAACCTGAGATTCAAGGAACGATGTGCTCTCAAACACTTTGTTGGCTGGGTGTGTTTGGCCATGAGCTACTCGGAGACCTGGCATTTGTCCAAGCCAAGGTACCAACTGATGATGTTTCTGATTTAATGTCAACTGACTACTAGTTTCCTGTTCCCAGAAATGAACTTCAAATAACACCAAAAAAAGGCGGGGCAGGTTACTGGGATATGACTCAAAACCTCACGGCTCCTAAATTCTTTCTCTTTTAATTTTCAAAACAGGGTTTCTCTGTGTAGTCCTGGCTGTCCTGAAACTCACTCTGTAGACTTGGCTGGCCTCGAACTCAAAAAGATCTGCCTGCCTCTGCCTCCCTATTGCTGGGATTTAAGTTGCATGCCACCACCACCCAGCTCCTGGGAGACTGTATCGTAGCCAAAACACTATGAGACATTTTGCAGTCAGATCCATTTCGTTTTATTATGAACAAACACAATCTCAGATGAGTAGAAATTCTTTCAGAGTTGGTATTAATGAAAATTATTAGATTACAAATAACTACTGTTGCACATAATAAAGGAAAAATCCCACCCAAGGAAGGAAATGGAGTCCTGCATGTTTTCATAGCAGTGAGTATACGGTATCTCACATTATCCATTCAACCTCTGAGAAGAATGATGTCAATTAACAATGTCATCTGGGACATAGGCACATGTCAAGTCCATGGTGGACAGTTACTATAAAAATGTGCAGGACTTAAATACTCCTCTGCTGAGGATCCCAAGTGTTTTATAAAGAGCATTTCCTCATGCTCACACCTACCCACGGAGGTAGGTCAGGAATATTATTATCCCAGTTTCACAGAGTACTGAGTCACATTATTGTTTGGCAACATGCCAAGTGCTACGGTTTGAGTCTGTCCCGTAAGTCATGGGTTGGAAACTTAATCCCCAATGCAACAGTGTTGACAGCTGGGTCCCATAAGAGCTGATTAGGCGGGGAGGGCTCTTCCCTCATTAACATCCTCCTCCAAGGAGTGAACTCATTATTGTCAGAGTGGGACTGTTACAAAAAACTGAGAGTTGGTAGCCGGCCCTGGCCTTCACCACCAGCGTTACACGGCCACCGCTTTCTTAACTTTCCTACTAACCTATTTCAACTAAAGAAGACACTCAGAACACTAGCAAACCAGGAAGAAAAGCTTTCACTTTAAATGCTACAACCGGCTTTAAAATCTTAAAACAAATAGCAAAAACCTACAAATCGCGTACGTTCAGAATTACTTCCCCTATCCATCAGCTACGGGCACTTCATCAAAACAGCCCTAAGAAAAGTTCCCCAAGTGAAGACCCCCCCAGAGGCAATACTGCAGATCAATGTCCAGCTAACCCTCCAGCCGGGCCTTTTCGATCCTGCCACACTTGCAGGCTCTCCGGTTTTAAGGGATCCAAAGAGGAAGAGAGCACAGGCTCATGAACAACATTGGTTAGAAAAGAGGTAAGGCACCCAAGTCGGATTTTAGCGTGTCCACGAGGCAAGGACTGTTAGAAAACTCACTCAATCAGATCTTAGTCTCTTATTAACGTGTCACTTGGTTTGAGCTTTAAAATCTTGATAGTAGTGTTTCTTAGTGAGCTGGTACACCCTTACCGACAGACGTATTTAATGGGGTCCTCAGCCACGGCACGGTTCAGATCCACTGGGCAGGCTAAGAGAGCTGCTTTTATTTTTCACATCTGATTTAATTGGGCACCGGGTAACCAGTGGAACTAAAATCATTCAAAAGGCATTTCCAAGGAATAGGGCCACAGGTCAGCAAATATGATCTCCCAAGAATTCTATTTCAGTGAACAGCTGAAGGATAAGGCTACTTTCAAGGGGACACACAGAGGTTCTAAAGCCTCTCTCTATTCAACTAACGGGAGAAGACTGTTCCCTCCAACCATGGCATTTGGTATGCTGCACAGCCGATCTTAATATAGCCAGGCTACTTCTCTGCTGTGCAAAACCTTTGAAGCAAAGTTCATGGCATCTCAGATCTCCTCTAACCAAAGCTTTCAAACTGAGGCACTTAAGAACACAACCATCACTGGTGTGCTTTCCACTTAGCCAACACTGTCTTCCTTCTATAAGCACCACAGCATCATCCAGGAGGACTGATTAGCCCGAGGAGCTTTGCTGAGTGCAGGGAGCATGCTCTGCCAACTCACAGGAAGCATGTCTTGCGCCAACATCTACGCCACCGGACCGGAATGACTGAGGAGACAAAGAGCCTCTCTGAGCCAGGGATGTTTCTAGAAAGTTGGCCAAACTTTTCCTTTCAAGTTTAAAGAGTGTCAGAAGCCTGGGAGGAAGAGAAGTGGAGAATCTGAAAGCCACCGGAAAGAGATAGCCTTCTCTACCTACTACAGATAGAGGTTGCATCTCTGCATGAGAAAGCTGCTGGGACCCCACATCTTTACTGCCTGTAAATATCCAGGATGTTTCTGCCTAGGGGGAGACTAAATGTCAAAAAGGGAAAAAAGAAGAAAAAAGAAATACCAAAAACCAAAACAAACAAAACAAACAAACAAACAAAAAATCACCCCAAAACAAAAAAAAAAAATGGGAGGGGAAGAGAGGCAGATGTGGCAGGGCTAAGAGATGTCAGCCATGATCCCAGAGTCCTACCTAGTCACAGAGCAGGTGAGCCATGAGTCCATATTGCAGAACGCCTTACCACAAACAGCAGTGGGACTGAAGGGAGCTAAAAACCTAACCTGCTTCCCTAGAGTACCCCAAAGCCGTGAAGTCCCCTGGCAAGGTGCCCCCAGAAGCGTTGACGCTGCCTACAGCTACTTCCAGTTTCCCTGTCTGCGGCCCAACAGTGGGAGGAAGGCGGCGTTTAGCATCTTTTTCAGAGAACACTCGTTGAGTGTTTATAGGATCCAGGACAGACTTTGTGTTTTTCAGTTTTAACTGTGACTCAAGCTCAACTCTTAAAATTCTTCCACTGTTAGATGTATGGAAGCCCCACAGCTATCCTTAATTTTTGAGAGCGACCAGCATCTCAGAGGTGGAAGAACAGGAATTAAAAGAATCTGGGGGTGCAGCTCACAGGACACACACATCCCATGAGCGACTGCCCTCATGGATTCCAAACACGCCTCACTCGAGGGCCCCTTGCTCTGCACGTCCTGTTAATTGTTGTTTTTTTTCTTTTTATTTGAGACAAGGTCTCACTATCTAGCCCTGGCTGGCTTTGAACCCACCTGCTTCTGCCTCTCAAGGGCCTGTGATTTAAGGCGCATGCCACCACGCCTGGCCCCAGGTCCTTGTTATTAAAGGAAAAGAAAATCTTTATTTTAGTAAAGACCACTTTTCCTACAAATTATTTTTCAGTTTACTATTATTCTTTTAAATCCTTAGCCTAAACTACACTGAGATTTGATGTGTTACCGTATTTTAGTGTCACAAAGTTCCGTAGTTGTCACCTACTCAGAATTAGGAGAGGAGGCACACTGTGCTGAAAGGCTCCCGTACCTCTGCCAGACAGAGCCGAGCCCGCTCACAAGAGACCCCCTCTCCCCCAGCACTGATGGATCACAGCCTGCATGTTGAATTTGGCCTCTTAAGATTTACCTGCTCTACAAGCTCTCTGCCAAATAAAACTTTTTTTTTCCTATTCCGTCTGGCAAAGCCTGGGCTAAAAATAACAGGAGAAATCTCTCAAGATTTTTCTTGTATCTCTAACTCAGAGCAGCTTAAGAAGAGTTGGGGGTGGGGCGTGAACCTTTACTGTAGACCCTTGAAAAGTTGGCATACTCTGGAAGGCGAACACTGCCCTACAGCTGAGTGGCTGCTGGCTTGGGGGAGGCGATGAGAACGATGTCACCAGGGACAAAGCAAAGAGAAAGAACGACGGGAAAAGAGAACAGAAGGGGAGATCAGCTTAGCGTCGAGAGGAAGAGCTGTTGACTTCCAATATTTGTCCGTTTTACAATACTGTACCAGAATGGGTTAACGTCATCATTTTAGCATCTGGGTAGCAATACTCAGTAGTTAATTAACAGAACAGTAAGCCTCTGCCAAGCTGGCTTCTGGAATGAACTGGAAGACCCCACACTCAGCCACTCTTGCAGCTTCCGTCTCCAGTTCTCTTAATCCTGGCTAAGACAGCGGTCTTGGACACTCTCTTCCGGTCATAAGCCAGGCCGAGGGCAGCCATGCAGTCGATGAAGAACGTGGTGAAGTTGATGTGCCAGCGGTACTCACTGGCAGAGTAGTCGTAGGGGAAGGCGTGATGGTAGTTGTGGAAGCCCTCGCCTGCAACAGAAGCAAGGAGAGCATTCAGGGGGCTCAGTGATTGCTGCTTCCTCTTCTGCACACACCTCTTACCCTGTGGGCTCCTCAGACTTTGGGGATTCAGGACTGCAGGTGAGGGAATGGCTGAACCATGTTTCATTTACTCTGAACAAGCAGACACCACCAAAGGCACTGCAGTTCCGCTCATACTCTGGGCTCTACACACCTTGTCCAAGTGATTCCATTTCTAAGAGGGTCTTAGCACTGTAGAGTATAGGGAATTTATTTCAAACATAAGTTAAAGAACATGAGCAATAGTGGGTCTCTGACATATGTAAGTCATAAAGAAAATATTTTTTAAATTTACTTTTAATATTTGTACGAGTTTATGCATGCGCACATGTATGCTGTAGCCTGCAGGAGTCGGTTTTCTCCTCCACTATGTGGGTCTCAGGGATCAAACTCAGGCTGGGCAAGTTTGGCTAGTAAGTGCCTTTACCTGCTGACCCTTCATGAAAACCCAGAAAAGGTGCTTTTAATAATATCCAAAGTGGGGGTTGGAGAGATGGGACAGCGAATAAGAGCACTGACTGAGGTCCTCAGTTCAATTCCCAGCAACCACATGATGGCTCACAATCATCTGTAATGGGATCTGATGCCTGCTTCTGGTGTGTATGAAGATAGCAGCAATGTATTTATATAACAAACAAATTATATATATGCATATATATATATATCCATGCAAAGTGACTAATTGGGTGTTGTACCAAGATATACGAGCACCAATCTGAACAGTGTCATTGGATGACCAATAGCTCTTATTGGTAAGGAAAAGGAGCCACAGGTTTGCATAGGGAAAACTGTAACAAGGTATTTGTCGAACTCTCTTCTTAGAAATGTGGGTACAGATGGCAAAGGCACACGTTCATTCATCTTGACAACTGGGACTGGACTTATAGCTTAAATCCAACAATCATGATCACGTGATCTGGCAGGATTCCCCGAGCAATGTTATGGGAAGGGGAGCTCTAGCACAAAACAGGAGAAATCAGAAAGCAAAGGACAAGTGGGCAGAGGGCGGCAGGGTGAGGTGTGTGTGCTAATGGCTGCTGTACAGGGATCACTCATGGATAAGCCACGCCCAAGTACTATAGAGATAAAAATGTTATCCATGTACACACTTGAAATGAACTGCACTGAGTTATAACTCTATCTTTTATACATCATGGTTAAATAAAAACATGAGGCTTATATTCAATGGAGAGAACCCTACTTTCCTATTTATGACCCCCTGTCCTGAGTGAGACTGGCCAGAGGTAATTAAGAAATGGAAGAACTCAAAAGGGCCCATTACAAGAACACTTTCACCCTTTCCAAAGAAGTTAGAGCCTCTCAAAAGGATTCCCCAATAAAAATTACCACACTGGGAAATATCAAAGATTAGAGCATTGTAAAATTCCTCTGGGACCCCTGGCCAAGTATCTCTAGCAGCGAGCCACCAGATGTGGTCCTGCTGGGGACTCACCCACAGCTCCCATGGAAACCAAGATGTTCTCCCGAGAGCTAATGTTCTTGTCATAAGGACGGTATCCGTAGAGGTGGGCGGCGCTGTTCACCAGCCAGGTAGCGTTGAGCACCACAGCGTACCGCAGGAAGGTGCTAACGCACAAGCTGTTTACAAACGTTTCCCCCCAGCAGTACCAGGGCACCAGCGTGGGCAGGATGAAGCACATCAGAAGGAGGCCGGGCTTGTAGTACCTGCGATGACACAACACATTTTAGAGTTCCTGGAGAGAGGACTCTCACACTCCCATGGACTGTCCAGTCCCTGCAGGCAGGGGTGATTTTTCCCCAGTCCCGTGAGTAGAAGGAACCAGCCCCAAAACTGTGGTGGAACATTTGAGAGCAAAAGCTGTTAGCTCACTGTTTAGATGGGGCGATGCGGATGCAGAAGATGACTCATTATTATCCTCGTTGCTTCCTGGGCTGCCTTAGTCTGTCTGTCTGTCTGTCTGTCTGTCTGTCTGTCTGTCTGTCTTTCTAAAGATTTATTTTATATGTGAGTACACTGTTGCAGTGGGATCCCATTACAGATGGTCGAGAGCCACCGTGTGGTTGGTGGGAATTGAACTCAGGACCTCTGGAAGAGCAGACAGTGCTCTTAACCGCTGAGCCATCTCTCCAGCCCCTGCCTTTGTGTTTCTCTCATGACCACTGGAATCTTCACTTAGCATGTGGTCACGCCTCCATTTCTTGCTACCAGCATTTCTTGCTCTGCTCACCACCCCCAAACTGTACCCCCAAACTATAAGCCTCTGACCAGCAGCATCCTCAGGTACACAAGATCACAGATACTTCCAAGGGAACTGAGTCCCCGTGCCCTTCAGTAGCCACCATCTTCCTCTCACATCCTAGGAAGTTCCTTGAATCTAACTCCTTGTTTTCTCGGCTTAAGTCTTTCCTACTACCTAACCTGTGCCCTTCCCAAGAGTGGGCAATACTCTTGCTTCACACTGTTAGAGAACCCTTTAGTAATTCGGTTGCTAACTTAGCGACTTAAATCTGCATGGAGGAGTCCGTAGGAAGGACACGAGCACTATGTCTTCACCACTCTTTTCCTCTCTCATACCTGGGATTTCAAGCAGAGGGCTGCATTCCTGAACACTCAGCTCACCGCACTGCCTGCACAGCCTCTACCTGGAACACTCGTGACGTCTCCATGCAGCTGTGGCTTCAACACCACTTTCTCCTAAGCCTGTTCCCTGTTCTTGGTATCTGTCCAGTTTAGACAAATCCTGACGTGCATGGTGACTATCCGGCTACTTGACTTATCACCTCTGTAGTAGGCCACTTATTCCTTCCAGATAAGCTCTCTATAACAGTCAGTCTGGTCTTCCCCACCCTAGGACAATGAACAGGGTTTTTGTCTTGTTTTGCAATCCATTGGTTCTAATAAGATAACGCACACAGAGAAAAATCAGTTTATCTCTGTGGTCTATGGGATGTTAAAATACGTTTTAAAATTGATCTGAACATGTAGACACAGTAAGTCACGGTTTTTACTTTATAACGCCTAATAAAAACCGCAGACAGTGTAAATGCACATTCCCAGGGGTCACATCCTCAGCCTCCAACCCCCTTCACGCACCTCCTCTGGAACATCACCAGCTTCTCAGCTTTTAGGTCAGACATGTCCAGTTTTCCACCCTTCTCTTTGACAGCCGGGTGTTTGCGCACAAGCAGCCAGCCCACGTGAGAGAAGAAAAAGCCCCGGCGAGAATTGTGAGGGTCAGCGTGTGTTTCTGAGAACTTGTGGTGGGCGCGGTGGTCTCGGGCCCATTCATACACGTCATTCTGGAAGCACAGGGAAGAGGAACCCAGTGTTGAGAAGAGATGCCCTCCAAGGAGAATGCAAGGTCCTAGATGTCTGCAAGGGCCTCAGACTCTCAGCCCAACTCTCAGAGTCCTCAGGATTCTAGTTCAAGAATACACACAGGGTGGAGATGATGGGCTATCCTGTGCTTCCCAGTTGCCTTAGAGGTACATATAGAGAAATCACTCATATAGAGAAGTCCCTGAGCAGAGAAACAGCACGGTCACTTCCTGAGGTTATAGGAAAGCGAGTGTGGTAAGTCATAGTCCTCACTTCTCATCAGCAAGATAGTGACTCTTTTTAAAGTTGAGTTTATGTGTGTTGGTACAGGTGCATACGTGCCATGGCCCATGTGTGGTTGCAGGACAGCTTTCAGGACTCAGTTCTCCCTTTCCATAGTGCAAGATCAAACTTCAGTCTTGCACAGAAAGCACCTTTACCCAATGAGCCATTTTGATGACCCACAGAAGAAGCTCTACAACCAGTGACTGTGGGCCAGGGTGCACGTGGAGGCCTTATCCTATGGCTCAGAGTTAGTTACAAGGCAAGTGGCCTGGCTCCCAGGGTGCTCCTCTGTACAAACAGTGGAGAAAATCATCCCAACACCTTCACCAAGTGGCCGCCCTTTCTGCCCAGTATCAAGGCCACCATGTAACTCCTTAGAACGGGCGCGTCTCCAAAGGACCTCTGGGCCTGTCTGCATCCTGGCTTACCTCAAGAGCACACCACTGTCTCTTCCTCCACCACTCCTCTGTCCCCCAAGAACACTAGGCATCTCTTAAAGGCAAAGTTGCTATGCCAGAAATGGTTAGGCAAATCTGGTGAGCATCTCAAATCTTGACAAGGCAGAGGGGACTAACTTGGTTTCTTAGTTTCCTCTTGCTGCAAATTAAACCCACCAGTGGCTAGCTACCCTGTGTCCTTACAGCTAAGGAGCCGTGAGGACCCTCTACCAAGTCTCCATCTTTGTTCTGCTGTAAGCTTGTTGCTTGAAAATTCTTCCCACCTCAGCCTTACACCAGCCAATCTCTAGGTGTTTCCTCATCTGTAGAGGGGTAGTAATAACAGTATCTACTTCCATTAAAAGAGCCCCAGGGTCTATGACACCTGTGAGTCTGTCCCACTGTGGGAGTCTGAGACAGTTACCTTAAAATGAACTGTCGCTCACTTAACACGGTCAGTGCCCAGCTCTGTGTCTTTTATATTAAAGACCCACAACTGCCACGCTGTGTGACACCACTGGGACCCTGAAATGGAAACTGACCCAGCACATGGGGACCCCTTCTTATTTCCCTTCAGGAGTGACTCTATTGTATACGGACTTCAGCACTTGAGTCTGCACTCTGGGGGACCACACAGTACTAGAAAGAGTAATGGCTGTCCTAGTAAATTATCCAGATCCCTGACTGCCCACCACTGGGCAAAGACACAGCCGCAGCGCCTGCTTCTTACCTGAAACGCCATGGTGTTGGCAACAATGAGGAAGAGCCGCAGGGGCAGCCGCGCCTTGTAAGTTCTGTGGCTCCACAGGCGATGAGCTCCGGCCGTAATGCCCAGGGCGCTGATTACATAGTACAAATACGCTGTAGGACCAGAAAGTCAGGTGTCACCAACAGGCCAGATCCATAAGTGAAGCATGCCAAAGACAGTTTCCTGGCACTAGTCAGCTTCTCAGTCAGCCTTTGGGTAAAGGCCTGTTTTTCTCTGCAGCCCTGGGATGCATTAATCTGTGAAACTTCACACATTTTACCACTTGGTACCACTGGTCATCATGAGTCTGGGTATCACTGGTTTCATCCCGGGGCCGATCTTCTTTGATCTCTAGCAGCCCTCTAAAGATTTCTGGTCAGGACACTGCATTTCCTCAACCTAGAACCCATAATCAAGGGCAGTTTTTGAAGCACCAGCCAGAACAGCTTGGGCAATGGCTAATTGGAGGAGGCAAGCGGTGACATACTGAATAGCTTTGCACAAGGCTTGTAGCAGAGGTGCAAAAAGCATTTCAACACCGTAGCAGTATAAAGGAAGTCAGATTTGCATAGTGGTGCAAACATTACCAAGGACGCTAATATTCTCATATTCTCCACACACCTTGAACAAGGTGAGTTCTATTAGTACCAAGCACTTCTTCTGAAGTCACGGATTCTGGAAAGGTCGTTTGCCTACTGCTGGAAGGTGGGTTTTCCATCTGCCAACACTTGATTCAGTTCTACTATCCAGCCCCTAAGATCTGCATGCCCATCCCAGTGTCTTGTGTCTCTCCCTGGCCATGGTCCTGTCCTTCCAGACTCTCACCCTGAATGTTAGATGCTCAAAGCTGGCAGATGAACACTGCTTCACTGTCCTTGAAGCAGGGAAGCTCAGGAAGTGCCAGTCCTGATATCTCACTGGGAAGGAGAGTGGTACACCCATCTGAACAACCCCCCACCCCCACCCCGAGCACCCGTTAGCAGAACCAGGGAACGGAGACCTTGGTAGAATCGACTAATACTGGCTCCCTCCCAAGGAACACCGAGAAACAAAGGACCTTCACAGGCTACAGAACTTAGTTGCTACTGGAAACGCCTCACACTGTACTAACTGCTCTGTGTCCTTCTGCAGTCAGATAACACGTTTCCTGAGAAAGCTCTCTCCTCCTTCCCAACTCCCGTCCCTCCTACATGACCCCAGGAAAGCAACCATGGCCTTCATACCTATGTCTGGAAAAATCCTAGGGTAACAAGAGCCCTGCACCACAGGACGGCTCTGGGCAGAGCAGAAGCCCCTCACTGAGCACCAAGAGAACACCTGACACTTGTTTCATGCTGCAGATGACCCAGGCAAATCCAAAACCACAGATGATGCTGGGGGGGGCAGGGTTGGGGAGGGGGGTTGTGTGTGCAACCAACCACACAGGACACACAAACCTAGGCAGTCTTAGGCCTCTTCAGTCCACCTCTCAGTCTAGCAAATGGGAGACTTAGATCTCTCCCCTGTCTCCCAGAGAAAAGTGTCCACAATGGTGGATAGGAACTGTACCATAGCTTTAACTTCAGAACCAGGCTCCGGGGAGCTTTGTAAACTTTCTCTGTGCTATCAAAGACATTCAGCTCCAAGGTTATAGAGGCCACAAAGATACAACTCTCTTAAAACAGCTGAGCCTGGAGAAAGGCTGGCAGGGCAAACAACTAATTTAAAGAAGTATACCATTCCTACTTTTGACAAAGATGTGTTGTGAAGATTATGAGTTGAAGATGGGCGGTGGTGGCGCACGCCTTTAATCCCAGCACTCAGGAAGTAGAGGCAGGTGGATCTCAGAGTTGGAGGCCAGCCTGATCTAAAGACCCAGTTCCAGGTCAGCCAGGGCTACACAGAGAAACCTTATCTTGGATGGGGGTAAGTTTGGTTCCTGGAAAACTCTCAAGGATCATATCTCACCACTTGCAGGACCTAGGAAGACTGAGGCAGGGGCATAAAGGCAGCTAGCAATCAGACAACCAACCTTTCTATACACTGTCCTCCAAGAGACCTGCCATTAGTATGCAGACACGGTTCCAGAAAACCAATTGTTCTAAAGAACCCCTTGTTCTAGGGCTCTCTGAGAGCAGCAAGGGGCCCTGGACAGTCCTTCCTTCCTGGTTCAATGTTCAGTTGTGAAACCACCTGCAAAGCACATGGGTGCAGCTAGGGGGCAGCACTACCACCAACCTATACCCACGATTCCCCCAGGAGCTGAATTAGGAAGGTCAGTGAGCGATCCAGGGGCACACTCATCACAGTAGTGGGGTTGTGGCTGCTCCAGGTTCTCTTCCTGCTCAGGAGTATGTGGTAGGTGCAGTGTTGGAGGGAAAGAAGCCACAGCACTATGTGAACACAGAAGAGGGGCAGCAGGCTGAATAGAGGCGAAACACTCCTGCAACCTTATTATATTCTAAAAATGGTTTGTTGACTGGCTTGTGCCAAACTGTGGTGCCATACACCTTTGAACTTGGATATACAGGGGTCTGTTTCATCTTCCTCCAGCCAAACCAGCCTAGTCTAGTCAGGCAGGGAAGTCCAAACAGTTGAGCTTCCTACCTCCTCTCTGTTCTCTCCTTCTCTCCTCCTAAACAGCATCCAGTGTCTTTGACCCCTCACTGAACCCAACAGGTTGCCCATGAGGCCCGTGGTCTAGCTCTTGGCTCTAATGTCTCTGAGGCAGGGCCTGCTTCTCTTGTGGCAGGCAGAGCTGGGACAGGTGCCACCAAGTGACTCATACAGAAAAGCTTGCTCAGAGACCTCAGCATCAAGGTTAAGAGACTCTCAAGACTCAAGTCCCCCCCATTCTAACATCACAAGGCTCTTTTCCCAGCCCAGCTGGTCCAACAAGAACCAAACAGAAATGGCCACTGCCTTGGGTCAGAGGCTACCTCTTTAAAGATCAAGGAGAAACCTGAGGCACTGGCCCAAGACAAGGGGGCGCTGCTCACCAAAGAGGCAGGTGTAGACCTTGCAGGAGGGAACCAGTGTGATCCCGTACAGGGCTCCCACGTGCAGCAGGGCCATGAGGATGATGTTCCTCCAGACGTACTCCAGCTTGGGCGGGGGCCCCTCCTCATCCTGGTAGCTGGGATCATACAGATCATCTTTTATTTCAGGGCGAACATCTGCTCCCCAGTGGTGAGGATTGTTTTCAAACTTCTCTCCGCCATTCTGCTGTCCCCCAGAAGGTGGCGCTGTGATTGTGGTGGTGGTTGAGTAAGAACCAGAGATCTGCATTGAGAGGGGGTGGAGAATTAGGACTGCAGACGCGTGGGGGCAGCAGGGGGTACTTCTCTCTAAAATAACTGCGGGAAAGATGCAATAGCGGCCATACCCCAGTGCCAAGGTTGCATGACTGTGGAGCACACCATGAAATGGAACACTGAAATGTGCAGGCCGTAGGGAGTAAACCTTATGATGAAGGGGAAGGAGAGATGCTTTATTAGTAGCACCCTTAGCAACTTACAAAGGAAAATCTGCGCATATGGAAAAAGAAGGTCAGGTTTTACTTTAAGAAACACAAGTTGGGGAATCAACTGTACTGAGTAAAAACCTGGTTATCACCCGGTCCAGAAACAATCAGTCAAGGTTGAGCAACTCGGAAATGATGGCTAAATGCTCCCAGCTGCTCTGAACTCTCTCCAACCTTCAACAGCCACCCACCTAGAAATCCAATCTGCACCCGCCAACCTGAGAGGGAGGGGCCATCGGGGGAAGCTCACCTCTTGCAGTATATGGGCCGGCATCTTGGCGTCGGATGCTGGGGTCACGTTCCCAGGGATGAGAACGTGCAGCGAGCTTCAGACCTCAGCGACAAAGGGTGCTATGACTAAGTTTCTGCAGCCCGCTGCGCGGTACAAGCCCTGAGCCAGAGCTGGCAGTGGGGTATTAATTTCCTGTATTTCCTTAGGTTCGTTGTATTGATCAATGACCAGATAAAAAATCAAAAGCTGGCTGGCCAAGCCAGCCGCGGACGGAGATAGGGATAGGAAATGAGAGGACGCCAAAATCGCAGCTTGCAGCTACCGGTGTCCAGGACTCGGAATACTGCAGACACCAACACCGCATTGTCCCATCCCTAGCCAGGCGGAGGGGGGCGATGCTAATGAGGCTTTCGTAAACTCTGGTTAGTCATTGGCCGATGGGAATTTGGTACCACCTCGTCCTGCTGCTCTCATTGGCTCTGCACAATCTGCTGTTCCCTCTGCCTCCAGCTCCTCCCCACCTCCTCCCTTCTTTTCTGCTCTTGGCTTCTCACCCATCCCCCGCTGGTCCTCCACCCCGCCCCCACCCTGCCACGGGGGCGCTTCAGCGCTCTTTCTGGGAGAGAAGACCTAATCTAGGAGTGGGGGGTGGCTACCAGGGCAGGAAGACTCGGAGCGGTACCTAAAGTGGGAAAGCCGCTATAGGGCCGACCACTCGCAACTCCATCCGGTCTTTTCCAGAGGCGCGTGGGAGGGGAAATGGCTACCACCAACAGAGAGTAAAGCTGAGAGGGGCCTCCCTCCCTAACAGGCGCCTCTGTAGTCCCTTTTGGAACAATGGCTCAACCTTGCCCACCAGCTCCAGGATGCTTACCAGATAATAACTCGGAGCTCTGGTGCCATAATCAAGTTTTCATAGATCTATGGCTTGCCCATTCACATTAGCCTCGGTCACTACGGTCACTGTGCACACTCTGAGAGCACAGCCACGGTCAGTCAGCAGTGTTCAATCCCACCTCCCTAACGCACCCACCCCCACCCCACCCCCGACCTCACGCCTTCCGAATATATGTGGCACCTTTAGGAGACTCTTCTGTTATGTTGGAAGTTGGCAGTTTTCTACATGAAAAACACCGAAAAGCATCTGGCCAAGGGACGCGTATGTATGTGGAATAGGAACAGAGAGTGGATATTAAATTATTCCTGCAAGCCTCACTGACTGCGCAGTGGATACCTCCGTTCTTTCACTTTAAACTGGAAGAACGGGACATTAGGTACATAAAGAGACTGGACAGGCTGTTCACCAGCAAGTGTTGGAGCTAGCTGAGCTGACGTGCTTTTAGCCCCTGTTCAGAGCTTGGCCCTTGAACTTTTGGGTGGTCAGACCTAAAATACCTCCCCCTCGCAGACCCATCTTCTCTGGGCCTGTGTTAACTCTATCAAGAGATAGAACTTTCAGCCTGGCAGGCTATGCATTCACGGAGTCTGATTCCATATCCAGGTCACCACGTTACTGTATCGCCCACCTAAGGAAAAAGGGTTGATAGAGATCTGTCTTCTCAAGAAGAGAGATGCCAGGCATCTCCTGAGACCAAAACAGACCTCTTGCCTTCTGGTCTCAGGGGCTTGCCAACTTTCTGGCTTGTGACCAGACACCTCCATTGCAGGCCTGGCTCACTGACTATTGCCAATAATGCTGAACACGACCAGGTGTCCTCAGCAAATGGCTGGTGGCGCTCAGAAGTACTGTATGAAGTTATGTGGAGGTGCCACTTCCCCTTGGGTTGACTGTGTATGTCTGATCTGTTTGGTTCTTTTACCAGCTGTGGAGTTTGTTCTTTGTCCTTGGCTGTTAAAAACAAACTCCCTTAGACTGTGAGGCCTGTACAACAGATACTGGTTTCTCACAGTTCTGGGGGCTGGGTATCTATAGCAAAGCACCAGCAGTTGGATTCTGCCAAGAATGGGCCTCTGGTTCATAGGGGGCCATCTCTGTTCAATGGGGAAGGGGTGAGCTTTGACTCTGGGGTTTCTCTTTTTTAAAAAAAATTAGTATTACTTTATTATTTTTAATTATATGGACATGTGGGTATGAGAGAGAGCGTATGTACACATGAGTGAAAGTACTTGAGAATGCCAGAGGTGGTGGGTCCCCTGGAGCTGGTGGGTCCCCTGGAGCTGGTGGGTCCCCTGGAGCTGGAGTTGAGCAGTCTAATGTGGGGACTGAGAATCCAACTCTGGTGCTCTGGGAGCACAGCAAAGGCTCTTAATGGCTGAGCCGCATCTCCAGCCCCTGGTGTCTCTTTTAAAAGGGCACTCACATCATTCTCCCCTCCCCCCCGGGGGGGGAGTAAAGCATCACACACACACCCCAAGCTACTATTCAAAATGTTGATAACAGTACTCAAATGTCCAAATATTGCAAGCTTTGGGTAAGAAGACACAGTGTTTCCTTTGGGATGCCTCCATTGCTTGAAGACAGCTCTACATTGGAGACAAACCTGCCTTTACATTTCCTCAGCCTGCAGTCTATGGTGCTGCCAGCATCAATGCTGGTTGGTGATGATACGTAAGCTGGCTGCCGTCGCATTCATTGTCTATCAGAGAAAGAGAGGGAGGCCTCCCAAGACAGTGGTGTAGAACAGGAGTCCTACATTTCTCTCCAAGACAAATTACGGCCTTGGAGAGAAAGTTCTGGAAACTTAGAAAAGGAATGAGTTGGGGGGGGGGTTCCAGGAAGAAAAGGTGGGAGACGATGTAACTGTTGAAAAGCCAAGATAAGAGGCTGCCTGGCTCATCCCATGTGGACCAACTTCAGGAGCTCCTAATGGTACACAAAATAAAACCATGTGGTAGGGAGACAGCATGCAGCCTGCCATGAAGAAGTATGAAGCGATGGTCTGAGGAGATGGCTCAGCGGTTAAGAGCATGGGCTGCTCTTCCAGAGATCCTGAGTTCAATTCCCAGCAACCACATGGTGACTCAACCACCTGTAGTGCGATTCGATGCTCTATTCTGGTGTGTCTGAAGACAGCTACTGTGTACTCATATAAATAAAATAAATCTTAAAAAAAAAGACTATTAAGAAGTATGAAGCACCATCAAGTTAAAAGCTATAGGTAACATATGATGAATGTTTGCCTGCACCTGCGTTTGCAGGCAAGAAGTGCAGGCTTCTTTAATACAACAAAACACCATGCATGCTTGGAAGATGGAGACGGGAGCCATAAAGTTTCCTGTATGAAAAAGGACATGGAATGTTATGGCAACTGGGCAGTGGTGGCGCATGCCTTTAATCCCAGCACTTGGGAGGCAGAGGCAGGCGGATTTCTGAGTTTGAGGCCAGCCTGGCCTACAGAGTGAGTTCCAGGACAGCCAGGGCTACACAGAGAAACCCTGTCTCGAAAAACAAAAAAAAAAAAGAAAAAAAAGAAAAAAGAAAGAAAGAAAGAAAGAAAGAAAGAAGAAAGAAAGAAAGAAAGAAAGAAAGAAAGAAAGAAAGAAAGAAAGAAAGAAATGTTATGGCAGTTTTTAATTTTGACCCTTCAACTCAAGACAGTAAGAATAAAACAGCCCCCACATCGGTATATTAAATAAACATAAGTTCATTGTAGGGCGTCCTTATTGGCCATGGCACTAAGCCTGTACTTCTTACCATGGCTTTAGAGGCCCCTCTGGACTCAGGTCCTTGCGTATGTCTTTCTCTTAAATGTCCTCATTTCTCTTCAGTCCCATGATATCTCACTATTAAACCCTAAAAATGCTCCTTTCCCTTTGCCTAGAGCACTCTGTCTCTCCAGCCTTTATCCACTGTTGACCTTACAGATTTCTGGTCGTGTATTTTGTTTTTGTTTTTAAATCACCCAATGGTTTACCAGGCTGGCCCCCCATGGCGAGTGGTTTCTGCTTTTCTGACAGTTGTACTAGAATTTATCAAGAAAACAGCACTTGGGTGCCTGACCCAAGAAGGGTGTGAACTGGGTGTTTGTTCATTGAACTTATTACAGAACCATAACTAGATATTTGAAATACTACCTCTTTATTATCTCTTTCAGAACCATTCTCTTTGAAGCAGTAGGTGAGCAGTATAGTGAAGGGGTTGTGAGAAGATGCGTCTCAAGGTGGGCATCGTTTCCTTCCTTCCCGGGATGGCAAGTCATGGGACTTACAGGGTATGCAGATGTGGCAGGTATGGAGACCCTCTCTAGCATTGCCTTGGGACCCTGCAGAGTCTCACGTGGAGACGTGTTTTCCAGCTCTCATATCTAAGCTAAAGGCAGAGGCTAACCAGGGGAAGACAACAGAGAGGAGAGGGCCACACACTTAACTTCTCCTGCTTGCTTCACCCTCCTTCAGCAAGGCAATTGCTGTGGAAACGCCTTGGGGGGGGGGTGTCCATGTTAAATGACTATCACAGTGTGAACTTTATCTTCTCAGTGAGAGAAAAGAAACAAAGTTACTGTGAGCAGTATTATTCCCCATCACGTTCAGATACAAAGTAAGCACCCGCTAATGTGGAATTAGGTCAGCCATCCCCATAAACTCCATAAGGAAAGCAAATGAGTAACGATCTTTGTAGTCACTCTTCTATTCATCTCGCTCTCCTCCCCTTTCTCTCCTTTCTTCCACTTCCTTCCTCCCCCTCTCCTTTCCCTACCCTTCCTTTCCTTCACAAACTATTCCCATCCAAACGACATCACATTAGCATGGTATTTCTCCTCTGGGTGGTTGGAGTTCCAGAAAGCAGAAGTTTCTAGAAATAGGTGCTGCAGTGTAAACCCCTGAAAAGTCCTTGTTCAGGATGCTGTTTGAACCTGAGTCAGGAAAGCAAAGCACACTTCACCCCCACCCCCACCTTCACCCCCACCTCCCCAGAGCAGCAGCCTGGTGCACTGTGTTGGATCCGAGGACAGTGAAGGAGGTGACTGGTTTGTCAAGGAGGGGACAGGAGAGACTGTCTCTGAGAATCTTCCTTCTGGAAGAGGCTAGAGAGAGGGGCAAAGGTCGCTCTGCCCATTCCACTCCTTTCTGCTGCAGAACTCTGAGCCATTTGGTTAATATTGCTCAAGAGCTATCACCAGGTAGGTGTGTGTTACGATGAAAGGAATATTCTAGTCTTAATTTTATTGAAAAATTTGTTAGCTCACTTTATAAGCCCGTATAATGTGGGTGTCTCTTCTCTTTCAGAGTCCTCGTATCTTGGGTTTTCCATTTTATTATTCTAGAAAAGATAAATTAAGAATGTATAAAACGTAATAAGCTGTCTGTGGGCTGGGGGTGTAGCTCAGTGTTAGCGTACCTACCAACAGCATTGCAAGAGAAAGAAAAAGTGTTCACACCTGTAATTTCCACACTGGGGAGTGGTAGGCAGGAGGAATCT